TGATGCCTCTTTCTTCTGGCACCCTTTGCAGTTCCTCCTTCTTTTCCCTAGTTTCACTGGCATCCAGGAAAGGTTCCTCTGTCGGGGTCTTCCAGGTCCGAGGTGGACACCGTGATTAGTTAAATGGGCAGCTCTCTTGCTGTGGAACAGCCGTGCGGAAGGGTCTCCATTACACGTCTGATCTGATGTAAGGATAGAGTTTCTTTCCATGTGGTTACTCTTACCCAGGATCTCAACTTCTTTCATAGCAAATAACATAAGGCTTTGAGCCATTTCTTTGCGTGCTTTCTCCTTTCGTCCACGTTATTACTTTAACAACTTGTTGTCTTACGGAGGACCTTGACAAACCTGGGACGCAGCTTGTCGGCAATGACTGTGCATTGACCGGCGTTACAGAGGTGTCCGGCTGCAGTACGTAACGGTCTCCCTCCTGGCTGCCTTGGCCCCTTGCACTGAGTGCCGGGATGGATTTCTGCTAAACAAATCACGAGTTCTTCCAGTTGCAGTGGTTTGATGCTCCTCGCTTACAGAAAAGTACAAAAGTTTGCCTGCTCCCCTGTCTGCCTACCACGTGTTAAAGTGCTGATCGGGAAGCCATTTAATTACAGCCCTAGTGAGGTGGGCTAAGCTGTCCTCTCTTCTGACAGAGATCTCCCGAGGGCTTCTTTAATGGCGCTGTCAGATGTTTCTGCATTCCTACGTGGAGCAATTAGTTATCCTGTGTAATTTTCCCACTGATTGAGAAGTTCTTCCGCAAGATATGAGAATCGTTTATGTTCCACAGTGCTTGGTGTTTGCTTCCTGCTTTAGTTTGGCAGCTGGTGGCAGCCAGGCTTGTGGTGATCTCAGGAGGGAACCTTTCTTTACAAAATGCTTCTCTCCAACACCTCAGTCCCCTTAACGAAGGTCTCTGCTGTTCCCCAGGCTGTTCTGTGGCGGTTTAGTCCAGTTTGTGTGAAATTCAACCACACTGGTGCCCGGCAGCGTGCATAGTTGGTGCCTGCCACGGAGCTTTGGGTGTTTGCTGACCAGACTGGTGGGGAGAGCAAGTGGCTTCTGCTCAGGCACTGTTTTGCTGGGCTGAATCGCCCCGAATCCTGCAGGTTCCTCTTCTCCGCAGGTGGGCTGGCTTTCCCACATGGAGGTGCAAAACTGAGAGGCAGCAGGCGTGTCTTCCCTTGTAAGTGCCCATGGTGCCTTGAGCTCAGGCCTCAGACAGAGACGTGCCTGCTCTCAGGGTCCAGATTTCAGAGGTGCCTTTGGTGGCCTCCGTACGTACAAACCCTGTAATTTCCAGGAGGCTGCTGGTGTGGCCGATTATCTACTGGACTTCTCATCCCTCGTGTGGAATTTGCAGCCACTGCACATTGGTATGTCAGGAACCTGGGGATGGGGGATGGCTTTAATTAGCTTGTGTCTCGCTGGGACATGAGACCTCCAGAGCCTGAAGAAGTCCCCGTGGAAGTCGACAGAGCCCCAGGATCTGATAGGGGAGGTTATGTTCAAGGAAAAGACCTGCATGGACCAGCAGATTTCTCCTCTAGATTGGAGGTTAGCAAGGCAGAAACAAGCCACAGCGCTGGTCTGGCACCTCCCAAACGCGTGGGAGCGATGGCTCCTCCCTTGGCAGCTTGCTTAATCCCCCCACCCCTTGGCCTTGTATATAAGGCCCCCCGAGAGCAGCCTTGGCACAGCACAGCCCACACCAGCGAGGCAGGCACCCAGCTGCACCTCCAGCTCCAGCACCTCTGCTCTTGAGGAGAGCGAAGCAGAAGGCCTTCAGCATGGGTAAGAGACGCTCGGCAGCCCGCGGCAGCTCCAAGCCTTGTAGCCCCATCCTGGACCTGGCTCCAGCCGCTGCCTGAGGCTGCAGATGTCCCATCCTTCAAGCGGGTCCCACTCGGGGCCTTTTGGGCTTGCTCCTCTGCAGCGCTGCGGGAAGGAGAGAGCTGGGACTGAGGTTGGGCGTTCTGTCTGACTGGTGCTGAAGGTACAGAGGTCCCCGTTGACAGCTGGGGCGGGAGAAGGTCCATCGGGCGGGACCGAGTCTCTGCACGGGCACCTTTCAAGGGTGTGGACGTTTCTGATTTTATTCTTCTCAAATCAGACAGATGCAGAGTTCAGTGCTACGAGTACCCCACCTGCGAGGATGTTGTGAGAGGCAAGTCCTCCTGCGCGGGTTTTGGAATGGGGGGCACTGGGGAAAGAGCTCGGCGTTAGCAGAGACCACTGTTAATTAACTGTGTATGTTGAGTCCCTTCTCCCAAAGGGGGAAAAGTGTAACTGTGTGGAGATAACTTGTGTTGTTCTCTTACCTCTGGGTCAGTCATGGAACCAGGGTTGGGCAGTTGTCGTGAGCAAGGAGGGATGGGATGGGGTGGGATGGGATGAGATGGAATAGAATTAGAACTGAATAGAACAGAATATCATTTTGGATTAGAATCGTTCCAGCTGGAAGGGAGCTGCAATGATCATCTAGTTCAGCTGCACGTAGGAAGGTCACAGCATGCAGAAAAATAAGCTCAGTCCTAGCTGAAGCTTGTTTTGTCCTTTCTGGCCGGTTCATGGCATGTCTTAACACAAGCTTTCTATGCACCCAGTTCCTAGAGAGGAGATTGCCTATGTGACCTGTACCTACAGGGAAACATGCGTCGACCAGCCTGACTTCCTGGCCACCGTGGATCTCAACCCCAGATCTCCGTGCTACGGCCAGGTACGTGAGTCTCAGCTGCTTATTTATCGGGTGGTGTCTAGCTGCTGGCTCTGTGCTTCATAGTGCCCCCAGATTTGGGACATTTACTCTTTTTTGGCTGGGAATAATCAGATTACTTGATAGCCACGCTGTCATGCAGGCTCTCTGTTTACACGTTGCAGCCAATATGGGCTCATGAAAATTTTTAACGCATTTTGACCTCCAGGCTTAGGAGTTTGCAGAGCAATGCGCCAGTTTTGTCAAGGTGATAGTCCTCCTTTCCTCGTATAGCTGATTTCCTGAACTTTAGCGGCATGGGGTGAGGAACTCTTGAAAGAATCTCCCCATTTCTCGGCTGCACGCAGTAGCCTGGCAGACAGCAGTGGGCAGTGAAAGAGCCAGTGTTATCCTCGCTGAGCCGCCAGAGGCAGCTCCAGCTCCAGTCAAGTGGAGGCCACCCAGCCAGGAGTGCCTGCCAGCATTAGGGTCCCCGTTTCTCCCTGCCTCCGCGAGTGAACCCGAACTCTCCCTTGACTGCCTAGGTGATCCACCGCCTGCCCATGCCCAACCTCAAGGACGAGCTGCATTTCTCGGGGTGGAGCGCTGGCTGCACCTGCCTGGACACTGTCGCAGCAAAAAGGAACAAGCTGATTCTTCCCGGTTTGATTTCTTCCCGCATTTACGTGGTGGATGTGGGTTCGCAGTGCCGGGCTCCCAAGCTGTGGAAGGTATGCCTGAGGTGATTCGACGACAGCTTTCTGGGAAGGAGTTGGGAGCTGGTGCTGCTGGAGTAAGACCCAGGGAAGAAGGCTTCTCTCTTTGTCTCCTCTTCCACCCTGATTTTAGAGAGCCGGGTCGCGTTTGCCTCTCAGCTCTCTCCTTTTCAGAGCAAGGAAGGCGTTGGTTCCTCAGTGCCTGTTTCGTTCAGAGAGTGTCTAGTGGCTGGAAGTCACGCAACACCCCGTGCCTGCCCCCCGCGCAGACAGTGAGGGGGCAGACGAGCTGTGAAGAGTTAGGTGTTGCTGCATGCGTGCTGTGTGTGTAGAGGGGAGCTGAGAGGCTGCTGTGCTGCTCTCCGCGGAGGAGCATGGCCTGGCAAGTGCGAGGTCTTGGGAGGGAAGCTCCTGCGAGCGTCACAGACGTTCAGAAGTCTCCGGTGGCCAAAGGCTCTGGCAGGGAGCATGAAATGAGCTGTGCGGTCGGAGGCTTGAGTATGTGTGTGTCCACCTTTTTCAGACGATTGAGCCAGTGGATGTCTTCTGGAAGTGCAACAAGGGACACCTGTCTGTAGTTCATAGCCTGCCTAATGGTGATATACTGATTTCCAACATGGGAGACCCGTCTGGCAATGCCAAAGGTACTTTGCCGTGTGATGAGTGCGTGCAGAAACTGGCTGGTTTGGCAGCGCAGTGTGTGAGTGGTCACGCATCCCCCTTTGTATCCCAGGCGGATTTGTTGTGCTGGATGGAGAGACTCTTGAGGTGAAGGGGAACTGGGAAAACGAGTGTGAAGTCCCCCTGAGTGGGTACGACTTCTGGTACCAGCCACGCCACAATGTTCTGATCAGCACTGCTGGGTTAGTCCCAAAATGTGCAGGACGCGGATTCGATCCCAACGACCTGAAGAAAGGTGAGGCAACAGGGACGCAGGTGCTGAGCCAGCACTCACGGGGGTGCTGGGAGCGTGTGGGTGGGTCGGACAGAGAGGACAGGCAGAGTTCTGCACGACCGGCCCGTTTGACGGGCACCGCGGCAGGACGTGCAGCGCCTGTCCTTACGACAGGCCGGTCCCTGTCTGTGCCCGCTGCTCCCCGTGTCCCTGCGGTTGCTCTGCTCGTTCTGGCTGGTCGCTGGCGGGGCTGTCCCT